TTTTGACATATTTCCCACTCTTAATTTATCAAAGTATTATCAATGTTTTAATACCTTATAAGGGCTTCTTCATTAGTTCCTCCTTTAGGAATTGGTTCCGTCAAACCTGTTTCCAAATTTACCCTTGAAAGTGGCTTTTTTAGTAAATTTTGCCCTATTTCCACTAGCCTTTCCAAATTTTCCTTTGTGGCTATATCCACTGAGGCTTCTGTTCCGCTCAGTTCATCCTCCTGTTAATTTCAATAACCAAGAAAATTATTAATCAACCACTATAATAAGGGCAGTTCCGATACAAAAAGCATCTCGCGTTCACACGGGGTTCGGGGAAGGACTGCACCCCAAGGGGGACAGTCTACCATGATGCAAGTATCGGTGGCTGATTCGACGGCTCGAACCCGCACAAACCATCTCGCGTTCACACAAGGTTCGAGGAAGGGCCGCACCCCAAGGGGTATGATGTAGGCAGTCTATCCTGATGCAAGTATCAGTTATTGATTCCACGACTCGAACCCGTGACCTATAGATCACACGGAGAAAACTTGACCGTTGTTCCAAGTCTCCCCTTCCACTATAGAAAAAAAAACATAATTAAGAATAAAAATGACACTACATACTTGAATTCGAAGGTAATTATTATCACTGTGTAGAGCTTGGAAAACAACAGAATTATGGTAATCAACCAAATCAGCACTTGATTGGAAGAACACTTCAATTAGTGGTGTGGAACCTTTGTGAAATAACCAATTCACAATACCCCATTTGGCTGCCATTGATGCATTATATTTATGTTCCCATTTTGCAGATCCTGTCCCTATTGATATTACAAGAAAACGCCCGTAATCCATTGGTTTTATTGGGAAGAAATCTGAATTGTCCTTCAAAATTTCTTTGCTTACTTCCGATATTGCAATCAAAGCCTGCAGAAAACATATGCCAAGATATTCTTAGTGCCTGAAAAAATCAAAATTAGTTGAAACGAAGAGAGATAGAGTATTTAGTAATGGCATTTTTACACAAATAGCCGCCTGATTTCACTATTTACACACACACACACA